GGAAGGTTGGCGATGCGTCTGCGTTCCGTGTCTGGGGATCTCGGGCGTTTGTCCGCGACTTGTCTGCGGACAAGCTGTCCCCTCGTGCTGCTCCTTGCGTCTTCCTTGGCTTCCCCCCTGACGCGCCAGGGTGGCAGTTCTACCACCCCACCTCTCGCCGTGTTCTGTCCTCCCAGGACGTCACGTTTGACGAGTCGGTCCCCTACTACCGCCTCTTCCCCTACCGCACTCCGTCCCTCCCCCCGCCACCGCTCTTCCTTGTCCCAGGTCCCCCCCCGGTAGACCCCCTCCCCCCTCAGGGTCCTGCCCCTTCAGGTGTGTCCCAGGTAGACGCAGTCGAGCCTGTCGAGGTTACTGGTGACTCTGGTGCTGCTGAGGGTGCTGAGCCTGGGGGTGCTGACTCTGGGGGTGCTGAGCGTGTGGGTGCTACGCCTGGGGGTGCTGACCCTGAGGGTGCTACTACTGGGGGTGCTGAGCCTGAGGGTGCTGAGCCTGGGGGTGCTACTACTGGGGGTGCTGAGCCTGGGGGTGCTGAGCCTGGGAGTGCTACGCCTGGGGGTGCTACGCCTGGAGGTGCTGAGCCTGGGGGTGCGGAGCCTGAGGGAGCTGGGCCTGCTCGTGTGGCGTCTGGCGGTGCTGAGCCTGGAGGTTCTCCGGGCGCTTCGTCTCGACGGGAGGCACTCTCTCCACAGGAGCTGCGCGAGTGGTTTGCCCGGCGCTGGAGGCGTGCTGCTGGAGCTGGAGGTTCTTCGGCTGCTGAGGGTGCTGGTGCCGCGGGTCCCGGAGGTGCTCGTACTGGGAGTACTGGAGCTGCTGGGCCTGCAGGTACGACTGGAGCTGGAGCTGCTGAGGGTGTTGGCGCTGAGGCTACTGCTGTCGGTCCTGGAGGCGGTCCTGCTGGGGGTGCTGGAGCTGGAGGTACTGCTGGCGCTGGTGCTGCCGCTGGGGGTACTGGTGCTGTCCCTGCTGTGTCTGGAGTCGCCAAACGGCCTCGGCCGTACTTCGTTCCGCTCCTTCAGCAGGTTCTTGGTCTCCCGCCTTCTACTGGTCCTCCTCCTCCCTTAGAGTGTCCACAGCCTGTCCCGTCACAGTTACAGTTACAGCCTGCCTCCCCACTGCCCGCTCCTTCTCCCTACACTGGTCCTACTGGAGGTCTTGCTGAGCGTCGTGAGCCTGCGTCTCGCCCTGCGTCACCTGTCCGTGCCTCTCGCACTAGTGGTCGTGGTTCGCGTCAGCGTCCTCCTCCTGTCCCTGGCACGCACCGGATGTCTCTGCGTCCGTCCACTGCTCCTCTGCGTGCCCCTTTGCCTTCTCCTCCTGAGTCCTCTCTTCCTGCTCTTCCTGACCCGGAGTCGGACTCTCTTCGTGCTGCCAGTCCTACTGTCACGCGTCTCCTTGCTACTGTTGTCACTGACCCTTCCTTTGAGTCCACTGCTGCGTCTGCCCTAGTTACTGAGCTCGTCGACTTTGCTGCTCGCTGTCGTCTAGACTACGCTGCTAGTCTTGTTGCTGAGTCTGAGTCTGTCTGTCCTCCGTCCGTCGGGGGTGAGTGTGCCCTTGGCACGGACGTCCTTGAGGACAGGCAGGAGGAGTTCCAGTGTTTGGCTGCTGCTTCACCTCATCTCGTGTCCGTACTGCTTACCCCTGAGGGAGACCCGGATGCACTTGACATCCCGACTCCGCGCTCTTACGCGGAGGCGATAGAGGGTCCCTACTCCTCTCAGTGGCAGGCAGCTATGGACGCAGAGATGGCTTCCTGGAAGTCCACAGGCACCTACGTTGACGAGGTTCCCCCGCTTGGGGCGAACATCGTCAGTGGCATGTGGATTTTCAGGGTGAAGCGGCCGCCGGGTTCTCCGCCTGTCTTCAAGGCGCGTTACGTGGCTCGTGGCTTCAGTCAGCGGCAGGGAGTTGACTACTTTCAGACCTTCTCTCCCACCCCGAAGATGACCACTCTTCGGGTACTGCTGCACATAGCTGCTCACCGCGACTACGAGCTGCACTCTCTTGACTTCAGCACTGCTTTCTTGCAGGGCAGCCTGCACGAGGAGATCTGGCTGCGTCGCCCACCTGGCTTCACTGGGTCTTTTCCTCCTGGCACCCAGTGGAGCCTCCGGCGGCCAGTCTACGGTCTCCGCCAGGCACCGCGTGAGTGGCACGACACACTGAGGACTACACTTGCGGCTCTTGGGTTTGCTCCCTCTACTGCCGACCCGTCGCTGTTTCTGCGCACCGACACTTCTTTGCAGCCGTTCTACATCCTCGTGTACGTCGACGACTTGGTCTTTGCCACAGCTGACACTGCTGGACTCGCCCACGTGAAGTCCGAGCTGCAGAAGAGACACACGTGCACAGACCTGGGTGAACTGCGCAGCTACCTTGGCTTGCAGATCACCCGGGACAGAGCACGCCGCACCATTACCCTGACTCAGTCACACATGGTGCAGCAGGTCCTTCAGCGCTTCGGCTTCACGTACTCCTCGCCTCAGGCCACTCCTCTGCCTACTCGCCACTCGCTCTCAGCTCTGCCTTCGGATGAGTCCGTAGAGTCGAGTGGCCCGTACCCAGAGCTTGTTGGCTGCCTCATGTACCTGATGACCTGCACACGACCTGACCTTGCATACTCTCTTAGCATTCTTGCACGCTATGTTGCTCCTGGGAGACACAGACCGGAGCACATGGCTGCAGCGAAGAGGGTGTTGCGCTACTTGTGCAGTACATCGGGCATGGGGCTTGTGCTTGGAGGGCAGAGTCCAGTGGTCCTCACTGGACACGCAGACGCTTCTTGGGCTGACGACCAGGCTACGCAGCGGTCGTCACAGGGTTACACCTTCAGCCTTGGTTCCGGCTCTGTTTCGTGGCGGGCTACTCGCTCGTCTTCTGTTCTCGGCTCCAGTTGCGAGGCTGAGATCTACGCCGGGGCCATGGCTGCACAGGAGCTTCGCTAGCTCACCTACCTGCTGACTGACCTCGGAGAGCCGCCTCGTTCTCCTCCAGTGCTCTACGTAGACAACAAGGCCATGCTGGCCTTGTGTCGAGAGCAGAGACTGGAGCACAGAACGAAGCACATTGCTCTTCGCTACTTCCTTGCTCGTGAGCTACAGCAGCGTGGTCAGCTGCGACTTGCGTACGTGGCCTCTGAGGCCAACACTGCTGATATCTTCACCAAGGCACTTGCGCCTTGTGATCATCAGCGCTTCTGTACTCAGCTGGGTCTTGTGCCTACCTTGCCTCACTTGCTCACCTCTTGACCTTGTTTGTACTGTTGCATATATATATACTCCTGCTCTTGCTTGTTTAGCCTTATATATATATGTAATCCTGCATGTGAACTGGTCTTGTGGCCTTGAACTTGTGCTCGGAATGTGTGGTGACTTTGTGATCCACCCTAAGCTTGCTTTGCTTTGCTTGACTGGTCTTGTGACCCCTTGTTCTCCCCCACTTTGCCTATGGGGGTGTGTCAGAGTTATTTGACATAGTTACTGTAGGCTATAGTGGGGTAGCACATATGGGGTACAGTTTCCTAGGGTTTGCCTTTTGTACCCAACTTTCACTTAGTCATTTCATTCCTGTTTTCTTGATTCACAAGTACCCCACTAAAGCCTATCTAAACAACAACATATACACATATGTTTGACACTATAGCTACTTGCTGGCGTCATCCTAGCGCGCGTAGCGCTTTGCTGACGTCAGCCTATCGGTACTTTACTATTACGTGCGAAGTCTCGCACTGTATTAACTGTACTACACGAATTCTTTGAAGTGCTGAAGTCTCGATATTATCTCAACACAATGATTGGTACAAAGAAAACATTGTCCAATTACATAGTACTGTACCAGTGAGTGGGTCCATCCAACATGTTACCACCAACACATCCATAAGTCTACAATTTTCGAGTGCTGAGTTGAACGAGTCCAATCCTGCAGTTTTAGTGGCATGCAAGCATCACCAAACCCTGTACCTAGCAGTATATAAATCAATCAGCCCAGAGTGCTTTGATTTGAAGTCTCATCATGATCCATTTCCCCCCAGCGCTACTGCCACACATATCTTCCAACGACACTCGCCCAGTGACAATATCAAGGCTATCTCGCACACAAGCTATCTCATCATAAGCACATCCACTGGATAACACCTGCCCCGCCACTTCCTCCCTCTCCTCCCCATTCTTGGTCTCCGCCCCCGCGTCTCCCCCGTCTGCTTCTTGACTCAGTTGATTTAGTTTCCTCATGCTCTTGATTCTCATTGACATCCGCCCCTTCCACTCCCCTTGCTCTTCCTTCCCTCCCTCCCACACCTCCCCATCGGTCACCCAACCCCTCGGCGGAGGTACCGAGGGGTTCGGCGGGGGTATAGAGGGGTTGAGAGGGGTTGAGAGGGCACGTTGAGATGGGGGGGTACCAGCAGTGCGGAGTAGCCAGCAGGCCCAAGTGGGAAGGGTCTGAGAGGCCACCTAAAGACTTGCCATGCCTTACCTTCACTACTAATGCTCGTCTCCATTCCCATCCTCGTTAAAGACTGTTGCGCGATAGTGTATAGTGTGGTGTAGAGAGTGGCCTCGCAGGCATAACAGCTTGCTACTTTGTTGGTTATGTACTCTGGCACCTGACCCTCTGTTGTTTCCAACTTTCCACCTGAAAGGGGAAGGGACGAAGGAAAGGGCACAAAAGCTCAGCCAGAGGGAGATCACATCTGCTTATACCCACGATGACATGTGCTGACACCCAAGTCACAATGACTCAGGCTGAGTCAAAAAGGGCTTTAATAGATGACTCAGGCGTAGGTCAAAATGACCCTAAACTAGGCTGCGTAGGGAAGGTTAGATGTCACCACATACGCTTCTCCTGACGGGCAGAGTCACCACCTCCTGATAGGATCAGCGGGAGGCTCGTGTCAGCCACTGGACCAGCTCCGAGTGTGGGAATCCGACCCGCGGGCTGCTCGGTGCCGGCAGTAGGCCCAAAGTTACCCGCGAAGGACCTCATCACGGTCCTTAGTATCATAGTCTCCGCGCCGCACCACGCTCCGCCGCGTTTGCAACAGAGTTTTCGAAGCCGACGAGCTTCTGCCAAACCTCCACGCGGGTCCACTCCGCGGCACTGCTAATCGCGGAAATTATCATGGCCTTCAACCCTACCAACGCGGCCTCAACACGTGCAAGTGTGAGCGCCACCGTCTCCCTTTGCGAAGTCGCGTTTGCCCTCTCCACACGCATCTCCTGGACCGCATTAGCAACATCCTCGTGTCCGCGCTTATCCGAATCGTCGACGCGGGTTACAAGGTGGTTCATGGTCCTCAATTCCCGTTCAAAACCGGCTTGGGTCTCCTCCGCGCTGGCCATCATCTCCACCAACTTCTCCCGCTGTAGTGCCAACTGCCTTTCCTGCGTCTTGGCCAACTCCTTCAGCCGACGGACGTCGGCCTCGAGACGCACCACCTCGTGCGCAAGCGTGAGCGCCAGCAGCTTGGAGAGCTGTTCGACGGAGCGGTTGTCGCTCTTGTTCGGCCATTTTCCACCGCTGCCACCAACACGTCTGGCAACCTCCAACCGATTTTCGGTTGCGCGGAGCGGCCTGGCATTGTCAGCTGCATCAGCTGCGATGTTCTCTCCCGCGGTTGGCGCGGCAAGCTCCTTTTCGTTTGCCGCGTCGTTGACCTTCCTGTTGATTCCCGTGGATGAATCACCCCCAGCCTCCGAGATTCTTTCCGCGTTGTCACCATCAGGTGTCTTACTCGCGGGTGGGTTTTCCTTGACAGCTTCCACAACTGTACCGGCAGCGCTGTCCACCGCGGCCGTGTGAAGCGCCGTTGAGCGAGTGCCATCCGTTTTGTGTACCGCAGGCTCTACTAAAATGATTTCGACGGCCAGATCACACGCGTGCGTGATGATCATGTCCCTCAGAGACTTCAGGGACTTCGTCTTCGGGGAACGGACAACATCCAAACGGTTCCGCGACGCGAAATCAAAATCTTGCAGCACACGTTGAAACCTGTAGACGATGATCATGCCGGACTTGGCGTTCGGATCGTTAACCTGGGTGAGGTCCTGTGGAAAAAAGTAGTGGAAACAAATCTTTGAGACGCGAAGAGCAGGACCATGACAGGACCCGCGGAAATGCGCAGCAAGAGTGTACCATCCACTCTCGCTTGAGCACTAGCGCCCGCTGCTTAATTCGCATCTTGAGATCCGGCTCCAACTTGTCCGATGCAACCACCCTCGCGAACCACCTACGGGAAAACACATACAAGAAATATGAAAAGCGCTGTGTTCCGCATAGAAGCAAATTTGATAACGACCAAAACTTACCCAACCATGTCGTCCGCCAGCTTCAAATGTTTATCTTCACCGGGAACTGACTCGATGTGAAGAACCCGCGTTCTGCAATTTTCCTCGTCAGAAGAAGCGAGGTTGTCGGGGCGGATGACGAGCAGGATGCTGCAATGACAAGTATGTCAAACTTATATATAGCTTACATTGTGTAGGCTGTAGTGGGGTAGCCCATAAGGGGTACAACCCAATTAGGGTTAATACTTGTACCCAACTCTTTGCTATTCATTCATTCTCGTTCATTATTCTGACATGGTTTCAGAGCAGGTCCTCCGCCAGGACCGGTTTTTTCCTCCTTGGGCCCACCGCAGCGCTACCCCACTAGCAGCCCTTTGCAGCCCTCGTGCTGCCCCTACTTCTTGTCGCGACCCGTAGGCCCTTAGGCCCCGGCCCGTCGCCACCCCTAGCCCGGCCCGTCGCCCCTAGGCCCGTCGCCCCGACCCGTTGCCCCTAGGCCCGTCGCCCCTTGGCGTCGCCCGTCGCCCCTAGCTCGGCCCCCCATTGCCCGTCGCGACCCCCATCGCGACCCCCGTCGCTCGTCGCCCGTCGCGACCCCCGTCGCCCGTTGCGACCCGTCGCCTCGGCCCGTTGCCCCGGCCCGTCGACCCCCGACCCGTCGCCCTAGGCCCGTCGCCCGTCGCCCGTCGCGACCCGTCGCCCCTAGCCTAGGCTTAGGCCCCGCGGCCCGTCGCCCGTCGCCCCTAGCCTAGGCCCCGGCCCCACGGCCCCTCGCGACCCCTCACCCCTATCCTAGGCCCCTCGGACCCACGGCCCCTCGCGACCCGTCGCCCCTAGCCTAGGCCCAGGCCCCGCAGCCCGTCGCCTCGTCGCCCTAGCCTAGGCCCCGCGGCCCCCAGTCGCCCACGACCAGTCGCCCCGCGGCCCCCGTCGCCCTAGGCCACGTCGCCCCACGGCCCCTCGGCCCCCGGCCCCTCGGCCCCTTCGCCCCTGGCCCCGGGGCCCCGTCGCCCTAGGCCCCCGGCCCCTCGGCCCCCCTTCTCACTTGGCCCCGCGGCCCGACGCCCCTAGGCCCCCGGCCCCTCAGCCCCTTCTCACTTGGCCCCGCGGCCCCGTCGCCCTAGGCCCCCGGCCCCTCGGCCCCTTCTCACTTGGCCCTGCGGCCCGACGCCCCTAGGCCCCCGGCCCCTCGGCCCCTTCTCACTTGGCCCCGCGGCCCCGTCGCCCTAGGCTCCCGGCCCCTCGGCCCCTTCTCACTTGGCCCCGCGGCCCCGTCGCCCTAGGCCCCCGGCCCCTCGGCCCCTTCTCACTTGGCCCCGCGGCCCGACGCCCCTAGGCCCCCGGCCCCTCGGCCCCTTCTCACTTGGCCCCGCGGCCCGACGCCCCTAGGCCCCCGGCCCCTCAGCCCCTTCTCACTTGGCCCCGCGGCCCCGTCGCCCTAGGCCCCCAGCCCCTCGGCCCCTTCTCACTTGCCCCTGTGGCCCGACGCCCCTAGGCCCCCGGCCCCTCGGCCCCTTCTCACTTGGCCCCGCGGCCCCGTCGCCCTAGGCTCCCGGCCCCTCGGCCCCTTCTCACTTGGCCCCGCGGCCCCGTCGCCCTAGGCCCCAGGCCCCTCGGCCCCTTCTCACTTGGCCCCGCGGCCCGACGCCCCTAGGCCCCCGGCCCCTCGGCCCCTTCTCTCCTGGCCTCGCGGCCCAACGCCCCTAGGCCCCCGGCCCCTCGGCCCCCCCATCTCTCCTGGCCCCGCGGCCCGAAACCCCCAGGCCCCCGGCCCCTCGCCCCCCCCCCCCCCCCCCCCCCCCCCATCTCTCCTGGCCCCGCGGCCCGAAGCCCCTAGGCCTCCGGCCCCTCGGCCCCTCTGCTGCTACTACTACTGCTACTGCTGCTCCTATTGCTGCTACTGCTACTGTTGCTCCTGCGTGCTGCGCCACTATGGATTCGCTTCAAGTTCTCGCGTTCGACCATGAGGGCAGACCGGTTCAGTTTGACACATGGCTCGACGATCTGCACCTGTACCTACTGAGCGATTCTAAGGACAGTGTGTCGCTGTTTGACCTCGCGTCAGGTGCCGCTACCGCCCCTCCCACCACAGCTGACAGTGCGACTCGCTCATAGTGGCTTACTCGCGACGCTGCTGCCCGCTTAGCCATTCGCAACCACCTGCCGTTAGCCGAATGCACTCACTTTGGACAGCACAGGACAGCACAGGCCCTGTACGACGCTGTAGTCACTTGCTACTCCTCGCGCTGTTTCTTTCGTGACAGCACCACCCTCACTCCTCTCCCTGCACCTGTCCCGGTCAGACTAGCTGACCCCTCCGGAGGCCCGGTCGTTGCCCATTCCTCCACTGTCCTCCCGTGTCCGGCGGTTCCGTCTGGCTCACTGTCAGGCCTTCACCTCCCCTCGTTCTCTATGAACTTGGTGAGTACCGCTGCCCTCCAGGATGCGATGGTCAGTACCACCACTCCTGGGGGTCAGCGTGTGTTGATCTGCACGTGCACACGGACGGGGCGTCACCTGACCACGTTCACTCGTCGGCCAGGGTCAAGTCTATACACACTCGCTACCGAGCCTCCTCAGGTTGCTGCGTCTGCTCAGGTGTCCGCGTCAGATCAGGTATCCGCCTCTTGCTCGTGTCGCCTCCTGTCGCACCAGAATCTTCTGTGGCACCACTGCCTGGGTCACCCCTCCCTGCCACGCCTTCGTGGCATGCACTCCCGTCTTCTTGTCTCTGGTCTACCCAGGTCTCTGCCTCCTCTCCCACCCTCACCTGCCCCACCCTGCCTTCCTTGCGTGGAGGGGCGGCAGCACGCCGCTCCTCACTCCTCCTCGTTTCCCCTGACGACTGCTCCCTTGCAAACTCTCCACATGGACGTGTGGGGCCCAGCCCGCGTTAGTGGACAGGGCCGCGAGCGCTACTTTCTGCTGGTAGTTGACGACTACACGCGGTACACCACGGTCTTCCCCTTGCGCACCAAGGGTGAGGTCGTTGATGTCTTGATCCCTTGGATCCGCACTGTCCGTCTCCAGCTCCGCGAGCGGTTCCGCCAGGACCTTCCTGTCCTACGTCTGCACTCTGACAGAGGTGGTGAGTTCTCCTCCGACCTCTTGCGGGACTTTTGTCGTGGGGAGGGCATTCTCCAGTCCTTCATGCTTCCGAACTCCCCTCAGCAAAATGGGATTGCTAAGCGCCGCATTGGCGTAGTCATGGAGGTCGCTCGTACCTCCATGATCCATGCGGCTGCTCCCCATTTTCTGTGGCCGTTTGCAGTCCGGTACGCTGCGCATCAGCTCAACCTCGGGCCCTGTGTCTCCTTGCCGGAGACCTCGCCCACACTGCGTTGGACGGGGGAGGTTGGCGATGCGTCGGTGTTCCGGGTCTGGGGTTCTCGTGCCTTTGTTCGCGATACGTCCGCGGACAAGCTCTCCGCCCGTGTTATCCCCTGCGTCTTCCTTGGCTTTGTCCCTGACGCGCCTGGCTGGCAGTTTTACCACCCCACCTCGCGCCATGCCCTCCCTTCTCAGGACGTCACGTTTGACGAGTCGGTTCCCTTTTATGGTCTCTTCCCCTACCACTCTACCCCTCCCCCGCCCCCGCCGCTCTTCCTTGCTCCCGGTCCCACTCCGGTAGACCCCCTCCTGCCCCAGGGTCCTGCTCCCTCCGGTGTGTTCCATGTAGACCCTCTCCCTTGTATTGCGCCTGTCGAGGTAGCTGTCGACTCAGGTGCTGCTCCAGGTGCTGCGTCTAGGGGTGCTGCATCTGGGGGTGCGGAGCCGGGGGGTGCGGAGTCTGAGGGTGCTGGGTCTGGGGGTGCTGAGCCTGGGGGTGTGGAGCCTGGGGGTGCTGAGCCTGAGGGAGTTGAGCCAGGGGGTGCTGAGTCGGAGGGTGCAGATTCTGGGAGTGCTGAGTCTCTGGGTGCTGCTTTGTCTCGAGGTCCTGCTGGTGCTTCGCCGAGACTGTCTCCGCACCAGCTGCATGAGTGGCTTGTTCGGCGCGCACGCCTTCGGAGTGGAGCTGCCGGAGCTGGAGGCGCTGGAGACACTGGAGCTGGAGGTTCTGGAGTTACTGCTCGAGCTGGTGGTACTGGAGGTACTGCGACTGCTAGTCCTTGAGGTGCTCGTACCAGGGGTGCTTGAGCTGCCGGGACTGATGGTGTCGAGGGCGCTGGAACTGGAGACCCTACGGAGCCTGGAGCTAAAGGCTCTTGCACTGGTGGCGCTGGCGCTGGAGCTGGAGGAGCTGGAGTTGGAGGCACTGGCGCTACAGGAGCTGGAGCTGTTGAGCTGGAGTTGGAGGTGCTGGAGGCACTGTGCGGCCGCGACCGTACTTTGTTCCCCTGCTTCAGCAGGTTCTTGGTGTCCCGTCTTCTACTAGCCTTACTCCTCCCCTCCTGTATCTACCTCCTGACCAGTCGCAGCCGCCGTTACTGTCAGCCTCCCTACTGCCTGCTCCTTCTCCTTACACTGAGCAGTCCGGCGGTCTTACAGAGCGACGTGAGCCTGCGTCTCGTCCTGTCTCGCCTGTTCGCACTACTCGACGCGTTCCTCGTTCGTGTCCTCCTCCTGTCCCTCGCACGCACGCTATGGCACTCCGTCCTTCCTCTGTTCCACTGCGTGTTCCTCTGCCTGCTCCTCCTGAGTCCTCTCTTCCTGAGGTCCCTGACCCTGCGTCTGACCGCGCTCGTGCTGCCAGTCCCATTGTCTCTCGTCTCCTCGCCATTGCTGTCACTGACCCTTCCTTTGAGTCTACTGCTACGTCTGCTCTCGTTGTTGAGCTGCTTGACTTTGCTGCTGCCTGCCGTCTAGACTACGCCACTGCTCTTGTTGCTGAGTCTGCGTCTACAAGTCCTCCGTCCCTCCGGGATGAGTGTGCTCTTGGCTCGGACGTCCTTG